AATATTAAATTAACTTAAAAATGTATTTTTGTATAAAGAAATATTATGTAATTATATATTTATGAATATATTATGAGAAAACTGATATAAAAGAAATTTATATACATATGTCTAAAAAATAAGTTTAAAATACAATAAATAAAAAGAAATCTTTCTTGCTCGATTTTCTATGTTACTTTTGTACACTTTTTCACTTTATCATTTTTTCACAAAAATTAGATCAATCTCTCGAAATTTCTCACACATTTCACCAAATGGACAATACACGTAATACTTCCCTCAAAGCATGTATGCTTGAAAGACAAATGTTTAAGTAGAACATTGAAACGCTTATTTAAATACAGAGAGAAAGGGAGAGAAAGAGCAATAAAAAAGGAGGAAAAAAGATGGGACAACTTACTTATTTCACACATGCGCACTCCATTTTGGCCAACATAAAATCAGAAAAGTTGCGCTACTGTATATACTGTGACTATAAGTTGACTGGAAAAGTCAAGAGTCGACTTCAAAGTCAGCCCGAATGTCGGCTAATAGTCGATTAATACTTGACGAAAATCTCAAAAAAGTCAACTACAATTAGACAGGAGAAGTCAAGAATCGACTTTTTAATCAAATCTGAATGTCGACTAATAGTCGACTATTGTCTCGAAAATAATCAACTATTATTAATTAAAACTGACAAATTATCGAATATTCAACTTCTATATAATTAATGTTCTATTTCTTCGTTAAGTTTTTGATAACTGAAAGATATCTTATAGTTATCAGTGCTCAATAAGTTAACACAGAAGTGGAAACATTAACTATCCAGAAAATGACTATACGGTATCTTATTATCAATTTTGGTTAGCTGAGAGATCTTATTATAATAAATTTTATTTTCCAGAGAAGCACAATATACTCATGTAAACTCTTATTGTCATATAAAACAATATGATCAGATATGCAAAAATGAACATTTTGAAGAAAATATAATAAATATAATAAATATTTTAATATAATTATTAGCGATAATATTGTTCTATAATAAATTAGCACGTTTTTGGAAATGTTCATGCAAATAAAATAGAATTATTACACGCAAGTAAAATAAAATAGACAAGATAATGCGATGATGCAATACAAAATATATATTTTGCTATATATACATATATGTTTTCATTTAAGTACAAGAAGCTCTAAGCGATCAAAGTTAGATGTTGGGATAAATATTTCTACTCTTTTATATATTTCGTTTGAAATAATGATAATCTCACAAATTAATTTTCGATCGTCAGTTTGCTACTAGCATCTTATATATAATAAAGTGTAAAAAACTTATTGCGACAAATATTACCTCAGCCAAAGTTCAACCCAGGTTTCTCAATGTCTGGTTGGGTATGCTTAATTTTTTAACTACTGAGGATTGAGTAATATTTTTCACATTAACCGATATATATGGGTTATACATATAGAGTGTCCTATAACAATTAATTAATATTTCAGGGAATGCAAGAGGATGAAATTTTGAACTAAAAATTCCTTTGTTAATTTTAGCTCAAACCATTACTTACCGAATTATTAACGATTAAAGTTGATCGCAATCAGGTAGCACGCAGACTATGCACGCGGAGTATGCAGGAACATACCATGAGTACGCCATGAGACTCCTCATGGTTGCTATGCATTATCTCGATTGAAACTTATTCTAATTAATTGACAATTATTCTAATTTTTCAAATTAACGAATTAATAAATCAATAAATTAAATCTGAACCAAAATTGACAAAGGAACTTTTAGTTCAAAATTTCATCCTCGTTCGCTCCCTGAAATATTAATTAATTTTTAATTAATTGGGATACTCTGTATAGAACATACGCATTAACATGGTAGCATGCATACAAATATTTTCTTATATAAATATAATTATACCTATAGTAACTATATTCTTAATCTATTAAGTTGTAAGGTACAAAAATAATATCGGTTTTTGTCTTCAGCTTTAAATAATATTTCAGCTCGTAGCATACTTTATTGGCCGAAATAAAAACCCCAGTTCTGCAGGACTCAGTGTCTTTTTTCTAATTTCTCTCTGGGGACAGACATAACGGTTCGAAGTTCTTATTTTCTTCGGCCAACACTTTAGAACTCAGAGTTTAGAAGCAGTGCGGGAAAAATTCCATCGACCTCGCATGCTTGGTCAGTAAGATTTAAAGATTTAGAGTCAGTGCTAAAGAAACATCATCAACCCTGCAAATCCTGGTTGGAGGACCCCCACCGATGAGCATTTCAGTAAATCGTATATCTCTATTTTCTGGCCCCCTCCTCGCTTTTTCTTTCGGTAATTCATTTCAATATTTCATTTTGTCTCTTTTTATTATTCATTTATTTTTATTTTATTTTTTTCTTTTCTTTCTTTCTTTCTCCTTTTTGCCCCCCTATGTACAAGAAAATAAAAACATTGCAATCCGTTCACACTATAATTTCAATCTGTTACCTTTGCCTCACGGTAATTGCTTGCTCCCTGTCATCATCCGAGGAAAATCAGGCCGAACCCTCTCAAATCCACTCACCAAAACTTCTCTTTTTCCTTCTCTTTTTATTCCCTCGCTATCCTCTCCGTAACTTCTCCCTTCTGCTACACAATACTGCTACTTTCACACACTCAGACAATATAAATCCTTACGTTAACACATTTCAGAATAAAGAACCAAAGAATTATATTTTATACTTAAGAAAAATATATTACTAAATATTGGTTTTGTTATAGTACTATTAAATTAAATCCTCGTTTGTTAATTTGAAAAACCTCTCCTTGTATTTATTGTAAGCTCTCCCGCAATTCCACTTCGCCCTTCACTTGTCACTGGTCACTTGGATTAAGTTTCATGACCGAAAGCCGAAACATACGGACATACTGGCACATCTGGCGTTAAAGTGCACCCTCCCGACACACTGACCCAGTTTGGACCGTTTAAATTAAAAGTACGTCCGACTCGTGTATCCGTTCAGCGGAGCATGAGTTGAGGTTTCCACTTCGACCTCCGGCTCGTTAGGAGCCTTAGGACGAAGTGCTTCTCAATTTGCGTCGGTCCTTTCCCTCGGCTCGCTTGCGGTCCGGAGCCTGGATACGACCAAATCGGTCTTATAATTCAATGCCTGTTGCGTTCATCCCCTCAGCTCCATGCATGCGGAACTTGGACTAGCAGTCCTAACAGTTTAAGACAGAAAAACTGACATTATTTTTGTATCAATCTAGGTATATATTATATATTATCATATATATTGCATCTGTATCATAAAATTTATTTTCTACTTTGCATTACTCTTATTCTATCGCCGGCCCGTCGCATCCACTCTTGCATGTACCTTTCCACTTCAGCATTTGTAGTGTTTTTCGTTTTGATAACCGATTCTAGAAAAGGATGATAAAATAATGAAATGTATATGAACGAATAAAATGAATATAGATATAATATTGAATAATTGTCCAGGTATCCATTTATCTTTCTTCCTCTTCTTTTCTCCTGAAGAGAAAAAAAGCATATGTACACAAAATATCATTTCTTGCGAACTTATTTTGACGAATTAGCTGGCTGTTATTAAAACCTCGAATTCTTTGCAAAAAAAAGACTATATTGCACTAGATTGCACTGATTAAAATTTCGGTACCTCAAGCGGCTCAGATCTTCAGAGTCGGAAACCTTGGTATACACGCACGCACGCGCGCACGCACGCGCATACTTTATTACGAGAATACTTTATTGGATACAAATATAACGGTCTACACAACATAGCGTCTCCGAAAAAATTTGATTTAATTTTTTAGTAACACTTAATTTTATTAACCCTACTTTTCTCTTACAAATGAAAAAAAATTAAGCTTTATACGAAAGACATACCACGGCTCTCACCCGTGATACTCATGTTTGGCCCGATTTCCTTACCACGAGTCTCACACGATATTGTAAGCGAAAGGGTTAATTATATTTTATGGGAAGGAGATTCAGCTAATCTAGCCTAACCTGCAATTTCAACTTAAGCCTGCAGCACACGATGCTCGTTTTCCTGCTAGATTGCTAACTGAATTAGAATTTTGTCATCGTATTAGCTGTAATGTTGTCGGTGCTAGCATCACAGCTAGCAATCCAGCAGGAAAACAAGCATCGTGTGCTGCAGGCTTTATTGAAGGCAGCCATATTCCTGGTTGGAAATCGACGCATGTACACTAAAAATTGGAGACCACATAAAAAGTTCAGTGTCCATACTGTATGTACTTATACTTGTGACCACACCTTCTATTCCGCAATTCTATAATGCCCGCATCATACTACATTGGAGACTGAAGATTGCGAATTGAGGATTAGAATTCAGCCAATTAAAACGAACCGAATTAAAATTAAAACCTGATTGGTCGAATTCTAATCTTTAATTTGCAATCCTCAATCTCCAATGCGTAGTATCACACGGGTATTAGACCGGAATCAGACACTACGCATTGAAGAATGAGATTGAAAGATTGAAGTTTAACCAATCAGAACAAAAGAAGTCAAAATTTCTTTGTCTTTATTGGTGAAATTTCAATCTTTAATCTTTAATCTTTAATCTCAATCTTGAATGCAAAGTCTGATTCCGAGCTTATGCACCTTGTGATTTCATCCTGCGCATGCGTTGATCCGTATGCATTAATTTGACGTCGTATGTATGAAACTCTTTTCTCTTCTCTCAAGTTCTTTCCTATGACACGATCGCACCGGAAACAATCAGAAGTCTGTAATTCATGTAAACGCGAATGTGAACAATACCTACACATGATAAGTAAAACGTGTTTATATAGCATAATCAACAGTGTGTCGCGTTTCGGAGACAGGTATGACATATCTTTAAGTACATCATAAACATCGTGATAAAAGAATGATGGAAATCGCGACGCGCATTGAAAAAAATTCACGATAACATAACGAATACTATCTTTTAAAACTGACGTTTTCGAGAAAGATCAAACGGAGCATATTAGAATACGTATGTAGGCTCACGTATGTCGAGTCGTATCGGTTATAATTATAATCATTTTATTTACACGCCATGTACATTATCTTGTACAAAAACAATCTTGATGAAAATCGTTTAGGTTAGGTTTATCTTACAATAGAGGTTACAAGATGTTTCGACTGGTAGAGAAAGTTCGAAAATGCGAAAATGTGTATTCCTCGCAAAGGATATGGAGGATATGGAGATATGGCGGCGGATAAAATATAAATTAGATTATTAAGATTAAATTCGTAAGTCAGATAGAACGTACATATATATGAAATGTAATTCACAACCTTTTAAAAACACGAGTGGGAGATACGATTAGATACGATTGGTATGCTACAACGCATTATCTTTATAGTATACATATTTGTAATGTAAGAAATATTTTATTTCTGTAATAATGGCACAATTTGTGTTACTCAATTTTTTGTATAATAAAGAGTTATACATGTTCTGAAAACTATTTTGTATCATTTAATATACCAAATCAAGTACCTTCAACATTATCTTTGTTTTGACTTATTTAAATATTTTATATAAAATAAATGTTTTTATTTATCAATTTGACAGGGTATAGCATTTTTTGAAATTATATTAAGTGATACATATCAAGTTTATAAAATTACATTATTATAGATTTACATTATGTTATTCATTACAGAGTAATAAGATTGTTGAAAAATGAATGGAATTATTCCCGAAATGGAACAAATTATTAGTCAACTTGAGAGGGGTACAGTAGTAACTAAATTCTTTCCAAGAAAACGGCCGGAAAAAAAAACTTTGATGATAAGGAGAGAAACTAGACAAATTGTTTGGTCGAGGAGTGCGACTTTTAGACCTTTCGATGGTTCAGGTATGATCCTCTCTGCACAAAACTGTAGCATTTCAATTCTATTTATTTAATATTTTTGTAGGTATATATAAATTTATACATATACATAAATGTCTATAATAGAAATGGATAAATATTGTGATATTGCAAATATATCGCCTGTAATTGACACAAATGTGTATTTAAGAACAAAATTAATCAATTGTAAAATTTAATCAATAGAAATATATATATATATATTTAACGAAATTAATAATAATATATATATATATAATATATATATATATAACGAAAATTTTAAATTTTACAATTGATTATATTTTAATATTCTTATATAAGAATTAATATAGTATCGTATTATTCTGTGATATAAATAAAATGTCTGGATTGTGAAATGTGTAAAAAATACATCATTATCATGTATATATTGTTATGCATGATATCTATTAGAATAAGATCTACAAGGAATTGTAGATACTACATATTTATTGAATTATGCATGCATATCAATGATTGTTTAAATATTTATTTTAATTTATTAAATATTATTTATTTACAGTGGAAATAAGAGAGGTTAAAGAAGTTAGAATAGGAAAACAATCTAAAGACTTTGAAAAATGGCCTGAAGATGCTAAGAGAATTGAAAATTTAAGATGTTTTGTAATATATTATGGATCCGAATTTAGACTGAAAACTCTTTCGATATCTGGTAAATATGATATTCTTTGATTACTTTAAGTGTTGGTTACTTTTGCTAAAACATATTATTTATATCAGCTCTTAGTGAGAAAGAATGTGAACTATGGTTCAAAGGATTACGTCACTGGGTACAAGATACTATAAATGCACCATATCCATTACAAGTTGAAAGATGGCTTAGAAAAGAATTTTACGCGATGGAAAATTCTCGTGAAACGTAAGTTTCTTTTCTAATACAATTTATTCTTATATTTTACATATTTCTCTCTATATGATGATGGATGCAATTTATCTATAGATTATTTATCACTACTTTTTTTATATCAATATATAAAAAAATTATTAACTATTGTTTTCATGTTTATTATACCGACTGACAGGGTCACGTTGAAAGATGTAAAAGCATTTTTGCCTCGGGTTAATTGCAAAATTGCTACAAATAGACTCAGAGAATTGTTCCAAGAAGTAGATACGAGAAACCGAAATGAACTTGGTTTTGATGATTTTGTCATTCTGTACCATAAACTAATGTTTGATCAAAATGTGAGTAAATATTGTAGTATTCTTGTATATGAAAAGAGATCAGCGTCAGCACTTATCTGTGCACAAATTGTAATTGGTATAATATTTTTACAGAATCTCGTGGATTGGCATAAATTGTTGAATTATTCTAAAACTGGACAAACTATTACGCTCCAAGAATTCCAAAATTTTTTAGTAACTGAGCAACAAGACAAATTGGGGAATAATGAATTAGAAATATCGCGTTTCATTAGAGACTATTTACAAGATTCTCAAAGGGACATACAAGAGCCATACTTTACTTTTTCAGAATTTATAGACTTCTTATTTTCTAAGCATAACGACATATGGAATCAAAAATTCAACCAAGTTTCTCAAGATATGACTCGACCCCTTGCATATTATTGGATAGCATCATCGCATAACACGTATGTAACCTTTAAAGAAATGAAAATGCATGTGTTTTAACTACTCGGACTATATGTATGATTTTCTAGATACTTGATGGGAGATCAGATTAGCAGCGAAAGTAGCTGTCAGGCCTATGTCCGTGCGCTGAGAGCAGGATGCAGATGTATAGAGCTTGATTGTTGGGATGGTCCAGATGGAATGCCATTTATATTTCATGGACACACTCTCACCACCAAGATTAAATTTTTGGATGTTATTAAAACGATCAAGGAGCATGCTTTTGCTACATCTGAGTAAGTCTCAAAAAGAAAAGAGCAAAGATGAAAAGAAACAATCAAACTGATTATTTTTACATAGCTATTATTTTTCTATTGACACCTTTTATTTACGTAGGTATCCTGTGATTTTATCTATCGAGGATAATTGTACTTTGCCCCAACAACGTAAAATGGCAACGACTATGCAAGAAGTATTTGGTGACATGTTGTTAGTCCAACCTGTTGACAAGAATGAAACTTGTCTACCTTCACCATATGCATTACGTAGAAAAATTTTGTTAAAACACAAGAAACTTCCTGATGGTGTTGATGAATCCTCATTTCTTATTCGAAATGATGAAAGCAGACAAGAGATGGATCTTAGAAATACCGTAAAAAATGGAATTCTTTATCTGGAAGATCCAATTGATAGAGAATGGAATCCTCATTTTTTTGTATTGACACAACAAAAGTTATTTTATACAGACACATTTTCAAGAGCTCAGGAAACCGAACACGATGACGATGAGGAAAACGGCATTCGTAGATCATTAGATGTATGTACATTATATACATGTAAAAAAAATACAAAGTAGATTCATTATTAATTATGATTTATAATCAGTATTGGGTAAGTTAATATATATATTTTTAATAAATTAAGTTAAAGTTAATGGTTTATAAAATTATTGTAGTTAAGGTAAAAGTTGAATAAACAAAAGACTAACTCAGTTAAAGTTACTTTAAAATTAAATTAACTCAAGTTAAATAAAAAGTTAATTTTGAAAATCATTTTTATTAAAAATTAGAATATCTTAATTTAAAAAAAATTGGATTTCTTTAAATAATTTCTTAAAAATCAAACAATTACAATATAGATTATCAGATAAATTTAATATTTTATTTGTAAATTATATGAAATAAAGATATTTTTTGTACAATAAGAAACTGATTTTTAGTATTTTTACATAAATATTTTCATATTTATATTATAAAAGAAAAATAAAATGTTATTTTAAAAAATGTAAGTAATCTTGTATTTCTCTTTGTACTGGTCATGCTTGTTCTTTGAAAATTATGTAAAAAAGTTTTTATTCTTTATTACTCATCAGACGTAAAACAAGAATAGCATAACACAACAGCATTGATAGCATTTCCTAAATGCAGATCCAATCCATGTTCATTTTTTAGCATTACGTCGCATCCATCATACATCGTTAAACTTTTTTTGAAACGAATTCTCCAACGTTTAAGATTTTATAGCAAATAATATTGTATTAATTGCAAAATATAATATAGTATTTAGAGAGATAAAAAAACTAACTTAAACAAAAGTTAATAAATTAACATTTAAAAGTAATTAAATTAAGTTAAAAATTATTAACTTGTTCATATTTTATTTAACTTTTAATTTATTGACTAATTACTACCCAACCTTGTTTATAATAAATATAAATGTATGTTAAACATTATGTTAAAATAACTTGTATTTTAAAAAATTTTAAAAGGGC